AAGAACGCTTAGGCCTTGGAACTTCAAACTTGGTATGGTGATTGGTCATGACCAGCAGATGACCCCTATTGATTTTGGGGTCAAGGGGTCAAAGGTCAAGGTCACATTGACCTTGTAGGTTAAAACGGTTTCCAATCAATAACTTAAGAACGCTTAGGCCTAGGAACTTCAAACTTGGTATGATGATTGGTCATAACCAGCAGATGACCCCTATTTATTAAGGGGTCAAATGTCAGGATCACTTTGACTTTGTAGGTGAAAACAGTTTCAAATCAATAACTTAAGAACGCTTTGGCCTAGAAACTTCAAACTTGGTATGATGATTGGTCATGACCAGCAGATGACCCCTATTGATTTTGGGATCAAGGGTCAAAGGTCAAGGTCACGTTGACCTTGTAGGTAAAAACGGTTTCTGATCAATAACTAAAGAATGCTTAGGCCTAGGAACTTCAAACTTGGTGTGATGATTTGTCATGACCAGTAGATGAACCCTATTAATTTTGGGGTCAAGGGGTCAATGTTATATTGACCTTGTACTTAATGATGTTTTGTGACCAATAAATCAACAACTCAAGTTGCCTTCGTTGACATTTTTATATTATACTAAAAATGCTTTTGGTATACACATTTGAAGGTCTTATGTAATATAACAACTTGGCTGTCATTAATGAAGCCTACATGATTCATAAAATTTATGCATATATTATTTGTAAAATTTGTAATAACTTAAATTGCTGCACACAACCTATGGGGTCACAATAACTATTACCTTGTGACTAGTCATGACCAGTAGATACTAGATAACCCTTATTAATTGTTTGTTCACTGGGTCAGAAGTCATGCATAATAACCTGATCATATGACTAATTGGCTGCCGATAGGGGGCATACATGTTTAACAAACATATCTTGTTACTATATCAGTGTGTTTTGTTTTGTTTTTTTTTTTAATTTTGCATATCCGAGGCACTTGGAAAAACTTCTTGCGTCATATTTACTCAAATAATGTGACACTATTTAAATGAGACAATATAAAACACTGGTTACCTTATAAATGTACCTGAAAATTAGATTTGCTTCCTTTTACAATTATATGACACTAGAAATTTGGCAAATATTTAAGGTATACAGAAAATTAAAGCGTGAGTTATTGTACTTATCGACAAACCACAACTCGCCTTAAAGCAGCACGCCTCCAGATTAATGCAAATTTTCATGAAACTTTAGAAAATGTATTTGAATGTATAACATTGTGAAAAAACAAAACGGAAGCACTTTTCACATAATCAATGTCACATGCAACCCATGTAAATTACCAAAAAGTGGTCAAAATATGCATAAATTGCCCTTACTGCGTTAGTAACGCAGTAGAAATATAATTGTAGATACTGAAAAATCAGTCATTAACCGCACATAAGATGTAAATTATTACTTGAATCTTGAATCATTTTACTTTTCCTAAATTCGCAGTACATATTTCTCAAGGTTGATTTTATTAATATATTTTGACTCATCTGGAGGCATGCAGCTTTAAAGCGGTATTCAGATTGTTATTGTCACAATTAAAACAGTTTAATATAGCAGCCGCACGCGCTTATTTATTTCTTTTACATGTAAAATGTAATTTGATTTACGATACAACAAATATTCCGCGTTGCTTTGCGCAGATTCGGCGTTATTTTTGCTATTTTCACAATCCTGCGTTACTGGATGTACACAGTGAAACAAAAAAAAAACCACAAAAAAACAAGACAAATTCATTGATGCAGTAAGCTTAGTAAGACGTTATTCTGACTAGACTATTTTAAAAGATTGTTAAATAGTTTTGTTCGAATGAGTCTATGTAAATTAAAAAGTGAAGCGCAGAATAGATACAATAGTATACTTTATTTACAAATATATACATGTATATTGATACATTGGTTTACACATGGATATGTGAGGATAACAAGTTTACTAAGGTCTTTACAACAAAAATAGATAAATATAATGATATTACCAAATAAAGCATAAAAAACATACAATTTAGAACAAACAAAAAATGATTTTTAATCACTAAGAATTTGTTGCAATGGGTTTTCTCACTTAATTGGGAAGAGGCATTAATCTCTTGATTTAGGTAAAAATTATTGGTAAAACTGCCAGTTTTGCAAGTTAAAACCGCAGTTAGGACAGATGTTTGCGAAAACTGCATAATTCTAAAAACATTTTCAACTGTAAAGAGGCCTTCTACAGACCTTTGTTACATTAGGTGAAAAATTATTGTACTGGTACATTTTTTTCAACAGACATATCCTTTTATTTACAAACATGTTTTACAGTAATGTACAAATACATTTTTCCCAAAAGAGGCTATCTGAGAATATACACTTATATAATATGATGGTCATCAAACAAATCTCAAACTTAGCGTATAAACAGCAATTTACGTAGTACACATTCACAAGTGTGGCACTGAAAAGGTCAGTAGGTTGGAAGAGGTGTTAACAATTCAGTCAGGCTGTTCAGCACCTTCTTACGAAAAAAAGAGCAAATTTTATGGCAATATTTAAGAAATTTAAGGGCAAAAAATAGGAATTTTAGGGTACATAAAATATATTTTAGGGCTAAAATTTGAAAGTTTATAACTAAACTATGGCCCCATATGACCATTACATGGACTTACCTTTACATATTTGACACAAAAGTAACTCACAAATAATGCTCTTGTTTAATCATAGCAAAAGTGTCTACCAGTGTTCCACAGTCATAAGGTGTTGTTGGCTGCATCCTGGAAAAAAACATCTAGGCACAACCAAAAAACAACCTGAATACATGGATTCACTGGTCAATTGCCTATTCTGAAATAGTAGAGCTGAAAAACTACTCTAAAACATAAAATGAATGAAAACATTTTCAAAGTTATAAGTATGTTTATAACAACAAGATTGCATTTAATAAAAAATGCTACGCCACCGCATTTATATTACAGAAGTAGTCATATTTCGCATGGCTCTACCTTCAGAAAAAGTTTTTTTTTTAAATTTGTTTCTATATGTAAATAATGAAAATCAATGATCCACGGGATGAAGCCAATTTTGATTCCAGTGCAATTATTTGAAAAATCTTGGAATAGGTCCACTACACATTGTTTCATGCCAAACATCTTATCTATCTCTAGCCTTTGTCAATTCAGAGAAGATTTTACTTTATACATATAAGGATAACCTATGGCCAGGCCAAATTTGACACTTGGGGCAAAATTTGAACAACTTTGGTAGAAAACCTATAGATGATATTATATACCAAATAAAGCTCTAAGCCTTGAATCTTCAGACAAGATTTTTTTTTTTAGGTTTTTACTATATGTACATATTGAAAATCAATGACACCTGGGGCTGGGCCAATTTTGATCCCTGGGCTACAATTTGGACAATCTTGGTAGAGGTCCAATAGACAATGCCTTATGCAAAATATCTAAACTCTAGGCCTTGTGGGTCTTTCGAAAAAGTTTTTTTTCTTATAACTCATTTAGGTTACTATAGCATGAATTTATAATCTTTAAACAACTTTGAAAGCCTTTACCCAAGAAACAATCCTGCCAATTTTGGTTGAAATTTGACCACTGGCTTTTAAGAAGGAGATTTTTTTAAGTTCACTATATAATCTATATAACAGGTGAGTCGCTGTATGCGGTGGCATAAGAAAATAAAAAAAAAATAGGAATTTAAGTAAAAAAAAGGGCATTTAGGAATTCCCTTGAACTTTTTTTTTTTTTTAGGAATTTTAGCCAAACTGAAAAAATAAATTAGGGTTTTTAGGGACGCTGGGCTGGACAGTCTGTCCAGTAAAAAGAGATCAAAATAATTGAGAATCTCGTGCGACTTGTGGATTTATACACGTGGGGTGATATAAATGTGAAATATAGTTTGTAAATAAGAAAAAAAGTAAATAAACAAATTTAGCAAATGGAAAGATAACTATGCTTTCGTTGTTCGCTTGCAACCTATTTGCTCTTGTAAATGTTTGTGTATACAAGTTATTTTATATGTAAATCATATTTCTTGCGGGCAAAATGGTATTTTCACCGAGCTTTTTAACAGTGAGGCTTAAACCAGGGTCTGTTATCTTTTGAAAATCATCGGATACCCACGGTTGATTAACATGTAATCTGATAAATGTTAATGGTTCGGCCGTGGGTATCCAACGATGAAATTAGAATTGTTTGACTGTAATGAATTATTATTTGAAGGAATATGGAAAGTATCAAAAGCAGCCTGATTGAGGGCACTGGATATTTTCTGAGCAAATAATTTTGATGGCAATCGGAGTCACATAGCTTGTAACGACTGTTGTGAAAATATTAATTATTTGAGTAATATAATTTTCGTTAAGATTGTCAACAAAAATGGTTCACGTGATTTCTGCTATTTTGGTGGTTTGCTAATAGTATGCTAGTACTAGTTAGTACAGTATTGTCATTTTGTTATTTTCTAGCATCTCATTGTTATTGTTTACATCTTGTTTATGCCTATCTATAGAGATTGCAAGTAAAGAGTGAATTTGGTGAACCTATTTGACCTCAAAATGAAAAATATATTTAACAAATGGAATCGTACATATAAAGTAGTCAATCATATTTGTATTTCAAATAGTAAAATTGCCTTCGGTCTTGTCTCAGTCTATTCTTCCATCAACAATTAGCATATCATTATATCTACACAAATCGAGTATTTTATTTCCTGAAACATTTAATTTTTTATCCATAGAGACTCTACGTAATTGAACCCTTAACGCTGATAGCAGATAGGGCGTCTTAATTAATACCACTGGTTTGCAATAAAATCATCTAAAATAACATAATAAGGTTTATCAGCCGTATTCCCATTAAATATCTAATTAACATTACCTGCGTATGCGTACAAAACATATCAGAGACTAAAGTTTCGAAATAAAAAAAACATCCTCTTTATAAAACCGTGACAGGTCTCGTGGTATATAGAAACTTCCAATAATAATATTGTCATAGAAACTTTTTAATAAAGAACTTTTTTACTTTTATCCAAAAAAATCATACTCATTTAATGTCTCTAAAACCTTTTTATGTCAACAACAGTATTTTCAACAAAAAAGCAATACCAGATTTCCGGAGGTAATTTTCTAATAAAAAGTAAAACCTGGTATGTCCATTTAGCTTATAGCCTCTTGTACACATAGGATATCATATGTATCTAATAGCAAAATAAATTCTGGGAATTGGATGCGAGACATTAAGACTGGTAATGTTCCGTACTTTCATATGTTTCATGCAAGTCTTCGTTATCAGTACATAGGTCTTTCACAGTGTTTGGTTTTGTACGCGTAACACTGAAGTCTTCCGGTAAGTTATTATTTAAGAGAAAAATTAGGTTTTCGTCAACATGTCCACATGATAACATAGTCGAAGTACTTGGAAGCTGGATACAGTTTTTACACACGTGTGAAATATTGGAGTAGAAACGGTAGATCAGTTAACATTCTTATATTCAACACATAAGTGGTCATTGGAACTAGCATCACTAGAGATTTCGGGCGAAGATGAAACCATCCCCGGCCAGTACTAATCCTTGCCTTAAGCATTTGCAGGTTTGATGTTGGGATCTCGTGCAGTATCAATTGAAATAGAGGGTAACTGCGCTATTTCTATAGAAAATTGACATTCTTCCTCTTCCTGACGAAAATTCACGGCGTCTCAAATTTTCATATTGTCTTGACTTGTGATGTTAAGCGGGCTTTTTCCCTCTGGACCAGTTTGATTGGACAATATTGTTAAGAGTCTTCGTCTAACAATCTCAAACACAATCAGTAATTTCGTGTGTTGCATAATTAACATACATTTGAGCTTCTATATTGTCAATTCCTAGTTTCAATAGTCCAAAGTTTGATAACGATTCAAGGATCATATTTCGTTTTTCATCTGGTGGTAGTTGTTTAGCTTCATCTAGGTTAAAATTGTTCATATTGTATTTGATTGTATGTGTTGTATTGTTATTGTAAGGTGACGACTGACCTGGTGACTAACCTGTAGAATGGTGCGCTCTCTTTGTTAAAACACAGTTTTAGTAATGTATTCAAAGATTAACTAGGTTGAATTACAATAAAAATAGTCATGACGTTATACATATGTACAAAGATAGCGGATGAATCTGATCCTTCAACTGAATTGAGTACAAGTGACAAAGTAATTATGTCCTTTCAGTAGCCAAAAGCTTATAACGTTTATAATAGGCGAGCAACCATGTGACAAAAAAAAACTAATCTCAGTTTTATAGTATATATAAAATCACATTCAATGTACATAAAAATTAAGCGTTATATTCAGCGTCATAGTATTTACTCTGTTTGGATTGTTTTCATAGACTGTAATTATCCAAACATGCTGGTCATTTTAAAATGCCGGTGATGGACTTCGTGCAGTTGCGTCCGGAATTGGAGGGGAAAGAAACGCCGGGGTATCATGTGACGAGATAGAAGGTTTTGCTGTCTCCGGCAACGGTACGCGGTGATAATACGTCTTTATATCACCAGCACCATACGTGACTGCTAAAAGTCCAGCCTCGTCGTTGTAGGCTAAAAGTCTAGGGTTTAGCAACTCTGATGTGTCCCTAATGACGTCAGTCAGATTACATTGCGTATCGACAACATGGACAGTGCCATCTTTACCGTTTAGAATATAGACATTCCCCTGATTATCCAAGGCAATGTCATACGGGTTAGTCAGAGGACTTTCTTTCGTTCCGCGATATTCCTTTAGGACACTTCCGGTTGCAACGTGCAAGAAAATGACGCAATCTTTTCTCCAGTCAGATATGATGAGCGCTCCTTGAAATGCTGCTACATATCTTGGAAAGCTAAATAAAGGTGTCTGAAGTTTTGGGTCGCTTTTAAAAGACATCAAAACTTCTCCTCTGAAACCGATAATATCAACTTGCGATTCACCCGGCGTATTTGACGCCATACTTGCGATGAAAGTATACCCGTCATGTCCTTTACATAAACCGGCATAACCCACATGAGTATAAAAACTGGATAGTATTTCTGCTTTCATGTTGTTTACTTGTGCGATGTAAATCTGCCTGACTTTAGGCAAAGTAATCGCCACACAGGTGTCCTTCATATGACAAATTCCGTATGGCGATGCGTCGGTAAACATTAATTCGCCGAGAAAATCGCCGTATTCTGTAAAGAATTTCACTTTCTTATTTCCTTTGTCCGACACGACAAACATGTGATTGGCCCAAAGAAATCCTGTAACAAAGCAGGGATTCATGTCTTTACTGCGTTTAGTAGGAAACCCAATTATAGGTGGCACAAGGTTCGCACCCGACACCTCAAATTTCCCCACATCAATATGCTTAACAATCGACAAATTATCTTCACAAGGTTGAAATACAGGGTGCACCGCACCCTTCTGGAGACTAGCTAAACGAGTCTGCAGAGAATCAAACTTGTTGTATATCATTCTGTCTTCAGACGATCCACTACCTGTACCGGAAGTCAGGCAATTTTGTGCTTGGGAACGAACGGAAGTAATTTCCTTCTCAAGTTGTGATACTGCTTCAATACTTTTTTGTAAATTATGTTCATAGGCAGTAAACAATTCGGCATTTTCTGTTAAAAGTTTTTTTTCTGCTGTTTTAATAGCTAGCTTCATTGATCCCGTCGTTCGTGTAATCTTGCTTCCCTCCTGATCACGTGACTGATCGACTTCAGTAAGTTTTCGTTGAAGATCATTTTTAAAGTCGCTGACGTCATCGGTAAAAAATTCCAAATTTTCTAGAACAGTTTCCATCTTTATATAGTCGCTGCTTACTGCAATCTGAAAATATTTTTTTATTTATTTATTTATTTATTATTATTTTTAAGTAAATGTATACAGTTTAAGCAGTGGCAGAGTCCAGATTCATTGTCTATTTAAATAATGTTACATTTACTGACTGATAACAAAAAACATTTAATTAACCCCAGTTTGGTGTAAGAACTGTGATTCTATCATATGTACAATAGCAAGTGTCATTTCGTTTTTTATTTGTTTTTTTTATTTTTCTTACTAACGATTTTTTATATTTTAAAAGCTGTTTGCACATTTGAACGTGTAGTTTTAAAGTTGCATGCCTTAAGATCTGATGAGCCAAAATGTTTTAAGTAAAACAAACTTGAGTAAAAAGTATTGAGATTTTAAGAAAAGAAAAAAGATTCAAGATTAGGGTCATTTGTGCATATTTTGATCTCTTTTCGGTAATATAAATGGGTTATAAGTGTTGTTTGCAAAGTAAAACTTAATTCTTTGTTCACATCACAGTATTTAACATTTCAATCCATCTCAATATATTTCAAAATGTCCATGAAAATAAATATGAATCTGTAATAAACCAATCGGAAGACCTCGGGCGACTTCAAAATGCACGATATTAACAAAACTATTAACAAAGAGTATGTCATGATTATAGTAAATATGCATCCCTTTTTCCACTAGGAATTTGAAGTGTTTTTAAAACATATTAAGCGATAGTTGTGGTATTGTGGTATGACCTGCTCTTTATTTTGGACAAAATATCTTGCAAGTATCGTGCTTTTGTCTTTCTCGTTAAACCCAAACAAAAAGAAAACAAACAAAAACAAAGAAACAAAATCAAGACATTATATAATGTTTGAAAGTATTGAAAGAAACTAACTACTCGTGTAACCAAAAACCTCAACATTTAATCAATAGTGAAAAATCACCGCAACCTGAGCTTAATGTTTAATTAAACATCGCATAAAGTATTTCAAGTTCAAAGGTATGTTATGGTGCACAAAAGAATTGAGCCGCGTCATGACAAAACCAACATAGTGGGTTTGCGACCAGCATTGATCCAGACCAGCCTGCGCATCCGCGCAGTCTGATCAGGATCCATGTTGTTCGCTATCAGTTTCTCTACTTGTTGTAGGGTTGATAAGCGAACAGCATGGATCCTGATCAGACTGCGCGGATGCGCAGGCTGGTCTGGATCCATGCTGGTTGCAAACCCATTATGTTGGTTTTGTCATTACGTGGCTCAATTTACTATAATCTGCCCATTGAAATATGATCCATCATAATAACAAACAGGTGATGAGAGTCATGACAATTGCTTTTTTTTCATTTTTTTTTAAGATCGAGCAAAATAACTTGTTAATGAACTTTGCAAGAACAACATTGTACCTTAAATGAAAACATTAATAGTTATTATAATTGGCAAACAAAGTTATTCAGTTATTTTAAACTATATTATAGTGCGATTTAAGATATAGATTTCTTATCCCCCATTATATCATAGCTATGTAGTTGTTCCTATAAAAGTATAGTGCATACTTTCCAGAAAGTATCTGTCATACAGAGTAAATTTCGAATCAAATGAGTAAAAAATCGATACTTTAATGCCAATAGCGCCTTAAATCTATATATGTTCAAGTATTTATCTAAGCATAAAATCACTGTGAAACAAGTAGAATCAGAAATACCTAACATTTTTAATATTTAACAGATGCAAATCTCTTCATTAATTGCTCGCCTCGTCCATCGACATCATGGAATCTCTTAATTTGCACCAATGAAGACATTATTTCCATCAACGTACTTACACTGATTTTTATTTCAATTGTAGATAATAAAGGTTTTATCAAAATCAATCTACTCCTAATATTAGATTTTTCAAATTATCCTCGATTTTATTTCTTAAGCCATTTGTGTAAAATGGTCATTTTCATTGAAAAGCCGCCCGTTACAAGTTCAAATTTCTATGAAACTATAAGAAATATTTCAAATATACATGTTGACTGAACCATTGCCTTTGTAACGGCATGCTTAGTCTTACATTTTCTGTTACCATGGCAACGAGGGGGCATCTCAAAATTGCCAAAAATTCAATATTTTGAGTTGATTTTTCCCATCAAAACTGATTTCAAAGTGCTGCAACTTCTCCGTGGATTGAGATAGTCAAATGCTTTTCAGTGTAATTTACATGTTACCTTATGATGGACCCGGGGTCACTTGGCAATACGGGGGGCTGCTGTCCGAATTCTAACCCCTGATCAAAAGGGCCACGTCCCCCCTCTGGCACCCCTTAATTGGAGTATCTTTTTAAAAGGGGCTGTGCCGAAAAAGTGATCACCTTTTTAAACAACATAAAATTTTCTCAAACAAAAAACAAGTCTTGGCAGCCTAAATAAGGCATTTTTTACCATTTGAGGCTTCAAACCGGGGGAGGGGGTATAAAAGCTTTAAAAGGCGTGTATATGAAGGAATGGGCTAAGTAGGAAAAGACGGAAAAGTAAGGTCCGTATGAAAGCCTGTACTTAGATTTGTCTCGTTATGTCTTTAAATTCTAATAAGGTTTGGGTTTAAACAACAACAAGAAATATACTGTATAGTCAGTTTTAAGTTCATTTTGCTAGCCAAAATGATAAAACAGTCTTTTAATCAAAGTATTTTTTTTTTTTTTGGTTTACTCTTATCTCAATCTCTTTTCCATTGGGGAGTTTAAAACATATCGATAACTTTGAAGCAGAGATCAAATGCCTTATCACTAGTAAGGAAGCGTTCCAATAATAATAGATCATCTGCTAGAGCCTGTCATAATTTAATCAATATAAATAGAGGATATTCAAGTTTTTTCTATAAATACATGATTTATTTTCATCGAGTGGTATGAAAATAAATATTTCATGAGTGGCGGTAGCCACGAGTGAAATATGGTAATTTTCATGCCACAAGATGAAAATAAATCTTGTATTTATAGAAAAAACTTGAATTTTCTGTTTATTATATACATTTTTCTCTTTCTGGACATTAAAATTTGAAAGACTTTCCCTTAAATATTGAGTACTGGCAGAATTTAAAAGAAAGTAGTCCGGCAAGACACCAGTGAAAATACGGAAAATATGTTTCACTGCAGTGAAAAATAAATTTTTACAGTGAAAATACGGAAAATGAAAATACGCATTTTATTTCATCAATATTTCTCAATATTTCATTTAAAAGTATATAATAAATGATATTAGAGCCAGACTGTTACATTTTTCCGACCTTCTTGATAATATATACTATGTGCTTTTTGCATGAAAAAAGGTATGCATGTCCTATAGTTTTGAATGTCTATATCAAAAAAGTAGTAATCTGCTTATAGTTAAATATACATCATTGCGGATAAATATGCAAGAATGTGTATAAAATGATAATACAATTTATCTAGCAATGACATCGAAATTGTCTTTCGGAATTTTAGTAATAGCACTGAAGATAAACGCAAGACACGCATAAAAATTATTTACTAGTAAATCTGGTGCCTTAATGACCTTTACGTTTAGCCCGTCACACCCTGTGCTTTCAGCGCTTTGATCCAAGTTGTAGAAAAAACCAGGTATCGTTTTCTTTGGAATATAAATATTTTTGTAATTTGTTATGCTTACAGAACTCAAAGTATTGTTATGTTGGTTGTATAAAAGATACTACGGTAATTTTTCTGGACGTGTGTCAGATAAACTAAGACTTAGTTCCAAAGGCACCTTTGATATAGGACCCATCACACTGTCTAGACAAAAAAGTTGTTTAGCCTAGACATCCTGATATTTTAACCATGACAAATGAATAATATCTATGAATTACATGCTAACGCTCAATTTGATATAAACAAAATTTATAAAGTGTTAGTATGTGAATTTCCAACTATACGTTTAGCCAAATTCATCGGCGTAACGGTGATAAATTTGAGGGGAAAAATTATGAATTTCAAACGAATTGCCAAGTCAAAGAACGCATATTAATGAAAGACTGATTCTGTTTAAATGTCCCGAACACGCAGGTAACAAAAATTATCGGTTCGTGAACATTTACTTTTTTGTGACATTCGACCAATCATTTGTACCTATTTTAAAATCTGTAATTTGCATTATTTAGATAAATATAATTAACAAAGCTACCAATATCTGTTAAATTTTTACTGATGATGATTTATTTCCGATACTATGAGAAAATTTGTAGTCATTGTTGAAAAATTGCATTCAGTCAGTATAAAGATTGTTAATTTTGACCTTGACTTTAGTTCAATGTCGTTCATGATATGTGCATGCTTATTTCACTGAGCGGGTGGGGGTATGATCAAATAAACAAAATGTTATGTCTGTGAACAATATAAAGATGCTGTTATGCTGTTTGTACAAGAAAACGACAAGAACGAAAAGACATACCCCATGTCCCGACATGTAAATGGAGTGTTTATTATCCCTGTAGACACAACAGTGTAAAATGCACCTATTACGCGTTATTTATGAAAGCCTTACAATTTACCTGTTGCAAAAAATGCATATCTCATTGCATTATATATGAATAACACAGGTAAATAACAGGTACACGACAAATGTTGGCATATTTGTAATTCAAATGTATAAATGCAAGAAATTTATATTCACATACCTTTTTACTCCTGTAATACGCAGATTTGTCCAGTTAAAGCATATGAAAATGATTGTATTGTTAATGATTTAACAGGTACGAAAACGTTCGAAGTTACGTAATCAATAGCAGGAGTTTAACATTTCTCAACATAGTAACGTCCCTTAAATCGTTAATATTCTAAATAACATCAACATTCAATGTTTTATCAAAATGAGTCAAAATAAAGTGTCTTGCATGTTTTTTATGGGTAATGTGATTGAGCAATCGTCCGACAGTGTAAGTCTGTATTTCAGTCGCAAAAGTTTTTAAAGGGTAATGAATCAAATTTTTGTGTGATTTTTACTGTAAGAAACGTATTTAAAGGGACTCCACTGAGGTTTTTTGACATGATGGGACTGAAAATATTTTTTTCTAGATAAATGTACCATTTGATATAGGTGTAGACCACGAATCTTTGTGCAAAATTTCAGATCATTCGCACACTTCGTTTTTCCATAATAATTATTCAAATTGTAAAAAAATGACCCAAAATGAAAAGCGTTTAAACGCTTTTCACTCAAATTAGGCTAAGAAAAGCATAAGACTACGATTTTCGATTTATTTTAAAGTATATTTCTTAACTATCTTTGCATATATTTCTGCTTAAAGCGCCCCAGTTCATTTATGTAAGAAATTTTAATGTTATGTTTTTAGGCTTTTAAACCTCAGTGGAGTCCCTTTAAGATCTGAATCATAGAAGTGTTAAAACCCGTTCACGTGGAACCCGTCAAAAATTGTACTGTATAAAGAGATTATATACACTTCTACAAATAATATCATAAACTTCTCGTTTCCCAACCAGAGCATTGGTCTTTCGGGGTGATGCACTTATATAGTTCTATTTATTAAGCATATTCTTGTATCATAGTTTGGGGACCTTTCTGTTGAAAATGTATCAGAATTAAATCGTATACATATACATGCAAAGTGCGTTAACTGGAGTGCAGGTATTAGTTACCCGCACCCCAGAGCATGCCCATTGATTGGTTCATTTTTGCTTGGGTTTACATATTGTGACGGCAGAAAAAGGGAAAGCGACAGAAATATCATATTCAGATGTTCGTTCATTGGTTCCTTTTTGCCGGGGTTTCATATTGTGACAACAGGGAACGTGTTTTTATATTTGACTATGAAGAACATCAAACGCTCGGCAATCTGATTAATACGCCCCCTCGTACAAATCAGATAGCCTCTTGTTTCGATGCTCTTTCTATTACTTAATCTGGAATGTTGTAATACACTTAAGTCGTGACGTTTTATATATGTCATTATGCTTTTAAAACAATTTTCCAACATCGAAGAATATGTAAAATATGCATATAATATTCTTATTGAAAAATTTGACTTAGACTTTATAGAAAATAAATTTCTAATTACCTCCCTATTTAACATGAAATGTAAATTCGGCAATATCTTTACAAGTAATGCTTTTTGAAACTTACAATATTCATAAATCTTCATTTGAGCATCATAAAATTATTATATTATATATATTATATATGATACAAAACCTTAAACAATGTGTTACTGTTTGCTTTATATGTATTTGTCCTCCAACTTTTTGTTTGTTTTTATTCAGTTTAGGTAAGAGATACATGATATTTTACCCTTAAGAGAGAAAAAATTACACTTACGAACGGGGAATTACCTATCGTAAAGTTACGACAGATTTTGCACTTAAGATTTTCTTAAGATTTTTTGTGAAAAGGAAATTTATTTTTAGATATCTCTTACGATAAAAAATTGTCGTAAGATTTTTTTGTGAAAATGTCTGCAGCAATCTGAGAATCGCTCCACATATGACTGATGCGTTCAATATGTATGGGTGTCAAATCATCTTGTATTATTATAATTTTTAACTAGATGCCATTTACACAATCATGTCAGTTCCTTCTTTTAAGAATCAGAATATTATTTTTAAGGTCGTATTTTAGAGGTAAAGCTTGATAAAGTAAAACATCAAAACGGGACATTTTATTAGTCTAGTTTAGAAGGTAGATTTTGGTGGCAAGCTATGCAAAATGGAACATCGTCTCTAGTTACAAGATGAGGATGTGTAATTGTCGTGTTCAATACGACACCAAAGAATTTCCTAACGGTTTAATCGATAGAGATACATCAAAACAATAGTTGATATCAGGACGTTTGTTGAACTCGACATTGTCCGAATTTGATTTCATTCTTACAATCTCTGTTTACTAATGGTAAAAATCAGTGCACAGGTATAGCCAGTTTCTGCATTCCGTCGTTTACCTCGTACATGGCTCGAGATTCAACATAATACAATATACATGTCAGGAATGTATACAAAGATTAACTAGGCTGATTAACAATAATTATATGCATGACTTAATACATATGTACAAAGATAGCATTAATGAATCCATTCCTTCAACTGATTTGAGTACAGGTGTCATAGTAATTATGTCCTTTCAGTAGCCTTTAAATGTATAATGTTTATGATAGGCGTCCATACTCAGTTTCATATTGTATGCAATGTACATAGATATTAAGCGTAATATTCAGCGTCATAGTATTCACTCTGCTTGAATTGTTTTCTATAGATTGTAATTATTCAAATAGGCAGGTATTATATCATTTTAAAACGCCGGTGAATGACTTCGTGTATTTGCATCCGAATTTGGAGGGGAAAGAAACGCCGGGGTATGATGTGACGTCGGGGTATGATGTGACGCCGAGGTATCATGTGACGAGATAGATGGTTTTGCTGTCTGCGGCAACGGTACGCGGTGATAATACGTTTTTATATCACCAGCTCCATACGTGACTGCTAAGAGTCCAGCTTCGTCGTTGTAGGCTAAGAGTCTAGGGTTTAGCAACTCTGATGTGTCCCTAATGATGTCAGTCAGAGTACATTGCGTGTCAACAACATGGACAGTGCCATCTTTACCGTTTAGAACATAAACATTCCCCAGCTTATCCAAGCTAATGTCATACGGGTTTATCAGAGGACTTTCTTTCGTTCCGCGATATTCCTTTAGAACACTTCCGCTTACTGCGTGCAAGAAAATGACGCAATCTTTTCTCCAGTCAGATATGATGAGCGCTCCTTGAAATGCTTCTACATACCTTGGAAAGTTAAAGATAGGTGCCGGAAGTTGCGGGTCGTTTTTAAAAGACATCAAAACTTCTCCTTTGAAACTAATAATATCAACGTGTGATTCACCCGGCGTATTTGACGCCATACTTGCAATCAAAGTATTCCCGTCATGTCCTTTACCTAAACCGGCATAACCCACATCAGTTCGAAAATTGTTAAGTATTTCTGCTTTCATGTTGTTTAATCGTGCGATGTAAATCTGTCTAACTTTCGGCAAAGCAATGGCTACCCAAGTGTCCTTCATATGACAAATTCCGTATGGCGATGCGTCGGTAAACAGTAATTCACAGAGAAAGTCGCCGTGTTCTGTGAAGTATTTCACCTTCTTGTTTGTTTTGTCCGACACGACAAACATGTGATTGAACCAAAGAAATCCAGTTATAAAACAAGAATACATGTCTACGATGCGTTTAGTAGGAAACCCAATAATAGGTGGCGCAATGTTCGCACCCGATATCTCAAATTTCCCCACATCAATATTCTTAACAATCACCAAATCCTCTTCACAAGGTTGAAATACAGGCTGCGCCACACCCTTCTGGAGACTAGCTAAACGATTCTGCAGAGAATCAAACTTGTTATAAATCATTCTGTCCTCAGACGATCCAACAGCTGTACCGGAAGTAAGACAGTCATCTGCTTGGGAACGAACGGAAGTAATTTCCTTCTCAACTTGCGATATTGCTTCAATACTTTTTCGTAAATTATGTTCATAGGCAGTAAACAATTCGGCATTTTCTGTTAAAAGTTTATCTTCTGATTTTTTAATAGCTAGCTTCATTGACTCAGTTGTTCGAGTTATCTTGTTTCTTTCCTGATCACGTGACTGCCCGACTTGAGTAAGTTTTCGTTGAAGATCATTTTTAAAGTCGCTGACGTCATCGGTAAAAAAATCCAAATTTTCTAGAACAGTTTCCATTTTTATATATTCGCTGTTAACTGCTATCTGAAAATAAAGAGTTAAAGTTAGAAAAGCATGCATTAAACCTACAATGATTATTTTTAATCTGAAAATATAGTTATAATAATATAAGAACTGTACATTCTGTCATAATGCGCATTAGCTAGATTAGTGTCATTCCGTTCAAGTTTTGTGCCCCCACTGTCGCATCGTGTTTACTAAAAAAGGATTTGACCTAGAGTCATATAAACTTTACAGGAATGTTGATCAGCAAGTGAAGTTGTGCACCCGGGTATTTTCGTGTGGATTTATGTAGTATTTTAGAGTTATTGCCCTTGACTTAGTAAAAAATTGCAATTTTCAACTTGTGTCGCATGTAACTCAAAAAGGATTTGACGTAGAGTCATAAAACTTTACAGGAATGTTGATCAGCATGTGTAGTTGTGCACCTGGGTATTTTCGTGAGGAGTGTTTTAGTACTTTTAGTTATTGCCCTTGACTTAGAACTTTTTGTGTCGCATGTAACTCAAAAAGGATTTGACAAACAGAGATATTGTTAAAAATTGTGGATAACGATAGCAATGGATAGACAACGAACAAAGTTTGCAAATGAGCAAAATATATGAGCCGCGTCACGACAAAACCAACATAGTGCGTTTGCGACCAGCATGGATCCAGACCAGCCAGCGCATCCGCGCAGTCTGATCATGATTCCATGCTGTTCGCTTAACAACTCTTTTACAAGTAGAGAAACTGATGGCGATCAGCAAGGATCCTGATCAGATTGCGCGGACGCGCAGGCTGCTCTGGATCCATGCTGGTCGCAAACGCACTATGTTACGCGGCTCATATGAAAGAAATGCGAGGTGTAGATGTAGCTATTCAGTCCTAGCGGGAGTTAGCATTTGATTAAGCATTGCTGATATGCATTTATGTCCGAGATATAAAACCATTATTTAAACATGGAAACAAATGTAACTTGATAACAAATTTATCATTAAAATCTGTATTTAATCAAATCTGTTAAATTTCCACTGATGTTGGTTTATTTCCGATACTATAGATAATTCATACCATGGATAATTTGTAGTTGTTGTTAAAAATTTACATTCAGTATGGTGTACTGATCGAATTTATCTCCATGCAGTTTGGATGACCAAGACTTGACCTTGTTTTGTAGTATGTCAATAGGTTATATTAACGAGGCGCGTATTTTACATTTCAATCGATATGAGCGGGTGGGGATAGGAACGTTGTTTATAGCAGTGAACAGTTATACTGTATATATATTTTAACTGCATACAAACAACAAGAAGACAATAAAGCACCCCCCCCCCGTGTCTCGACATTAGAATGAAATATGTTTCATCCTTTTCAAACAGTCATGTTAGACACAATATAGCTAATAGTGCATTCTGCATTCTTTACAGCGTTATTTATAAAAGCGTTACAATTTACTTTTAAAAATGCATCATCCCTTTACATAAAATATCATATTAAGCACAGGTAAATACCGGCATATTTGTAATTTAAATACATGCACGTAAGAAATTTATATAAACATACCTTTATACTCCTGTAGAACACAATTTTTTGCAGTTAAAGCATCTGAAAATGACTGTATGCTGACCGATAAATGACCTTTTAATGCGACAAGTATGTAATGTTGCAAGGGACGTAATCAATAGCAGAGTTTTAACACATCTAAACATGGTAATGTCCCTTAAATTGTAATAAAAACTAATTTTCAGTAAATTAAAAACAACGGAAGCTTCTTGTTTTTATTGTTTTAATGTGCTACACCAACCGTCCAGCATGCCAATCTGTGTATTAATATACCAGAGGTGGTCGCAAAAGTTTTTTTCTCTACTTTTTCAGATGACAACAAATCAAATCCACGTGAAACCAGTTCGAATTGATGGTTTAGAAAACTGGTCAGTCTTATAATAATTCAAACAAATTTCTATACAATTTTTTTCTTGTGGGTAAAGGTCAATGTCATACTTGAATAATTCAACGTCTGAGTTTGGCATATATTAGACAAATTCAAATTTTTTTAACTTGACCTTGACAGTGGTCAATATAAGGTCAAGTCCATACTAACATTCAAGTCAGTTTAGCAAAACTTTAGGACCAACTGACATGGAAGATGGACAGGCACTTGACAAAACAGTAAAGGAGCTTAAAAATTTCTTGGATTTGTAAGTTGTAGAAAGTTTTCTCAAATAACAGTGTATAACACTATGCTTTTGTCATTTACTGTTGAGGGACTTTCAATTTTACAGGGTAACTTAGAGAACTATATTTGAAGAAAACAAAAGAAAATACTATTGCTATAAATAATATATACTCCAAACATCAAATTAATATAAAGCAATACAAATGTGCTAAACATACAATGTAGCAAACAAGATAGATATCAAATAAACAACATTGCTCTTAAAATCTGGCAATGTTGCGGGGTTTTCACGTCAGCAACAGGACAATCCAATATGGACTTTATTACAGGTGTTTAAATATAAAACCAAAACCACTATAATAATGAGTTATTTGTACAGCAATGATAGAAGAAAAAATATGTTTTTAAATTCACACTGTGAATTTTCATAAACGTAAAAAACCTTGGTATTAATGAATTTATCATGTTAAAACACATCACATCATCACTTATAATCTTAATTTATATTGAAATGATATTTGATATTATAATCTGCAAATGGTCTCCAATATTTCTTTTGACATACATGTACTTAAATTATTATGAAATAATATCTAATAATTAATGAAGCAAAGTATGTGTGGGGTCTGGTTAGAGACTTATTTCTTGTGGACACAGATATCATATGGCTCTGTAATGGTGACACTGACTATTGCAGGCACATTTTGAACTTTCAGAAGATTCACTTTAAATCATTTAGTATGTAATATATTGCAATACAATACTGTCAGGGAAAACAAAGTGACATTATATTGCATGGGAAAAAATTGCAGTACCAAACTGTCAAGGAAAATAAAGTGACATTAGAAATTGCAATATCATACTGTCGGGGAAAATAAAGTGACATCATATTGCCTGGGTAGAAATTACAATACCATATTGTCAGGGGAAATATAAAGATATTATATTGCCTAGGAACATAATGCAAAACAAAACTGTCAACACAGATATTGCAATACCATAACATAGAAAAAGAATTGTTTTTACATATATAAATATTATAAACCCAGTTCTACATACTAGCATCAGAGTCAAATAACAAATGATCTGAGCTGGTCTCTGCTATAGGAGACGGTGGCAAGAACGTCATATTTGCTTCCTCGTCAAATGTTATATTAATATGGTAAGCTGACGGGGTACTAATTGCCCGTCGCGAGCGTATATTTTTACTAGGAGTTTTTCCAGATTTAGGAGAACCAGCTTCCTTTGTTTCCTCTGTTGGTTTATTTGGTGTATTCTGCAAAACAGAAACAAGAAAAAATTTTCATTTACAGAAATAAATATGTCAGTCATAATTCTTTTCCTCCAGCTTACTAATGCATATAAACTTTAATCTTTAAAAAATCTTTTGAAGTGTTCCAAAATGCAGCCAATACGTTTTAATGATCATGTATTTTGTTTTGGTTAAAAATCAAACCTTTTAAAACTTGTTTGACGATGCTCAAAATATTTGTATACAGTATACATTTGTACATGTACTTGTTGCCACACCTGTAATCAGAACATGTACTAATTTGCATATCTAGCAATACCTATATACAATATACCAACAACACCTATGACCTACCTGTCATTGTCATGCATAGTTGACTTAAAATTTGATGGTCATGTGCCCTTCAGATTCAGAGATTAACAACAATGTTATGAACAAGAGCTGTCGGTAGGACAGCAACGCTCGACTATTCTTAGTGCTTGATAGTAAAAAAAAATGCTTGATACAGTTACCCCCTCCTGTTTACAGGTTGGGGTAATGATGGTGAACAAGTGTGCAAAGTTTCAAAGCCATATGTCAATGAACTTTGAAAATATTTGAGGTATTACAAAAACTTTAACATAAATTCTAAGTCGAAAAAGGGGCATAATTCTGTCAAAATGCTTGATAGAGTTACCTCCTCCTGTCTACAAGTTGGGGTCATGATGGTGAACAAGTGTGCAAAGTTTCAAAGCCATATGTCAATGGACTTGGAAAATATTTAAGGTATTACAAAAAACTTTAACATAAATTCAAAGTCGAAAAAGGGGCATAATTCTGTCAAAATGCTTGATAGAGTTACCTCCTCCTGTCTACAGGTTGGGGTCATGATGGTGAACAAGTGTGCAAAGTTTCAAAGCCATATGTCAATGGACTTTGAAAATATTTGAACTTTTACAAAAACTTTAACATAAATTCTAAGTCAAAAAAGGGGCATAATACTGTCAAAATGCTTGATAGAGTTACCTCTTCCTGTCTACAGGTTGGGGTCATGATGGTGAACAAGTGTGCAAATTTTCAAAGCCATATGTCAATGGACTTTGAAAATATTGGAACTATTACAAAAACTTTAACATAAATTCTAAGTCATAAAAGGGGCATAATTCTGTCAAAATGCTTGATAGAGTTACCTCCTCCTGTCTACAGGTTGGGGTCATGATGGTGAACAAGTGTGCAAAGTTTCAAAGCCATATGTCAATGGACTTTGAAAATATTGGAACTATTACAAAAACTTTAACATAAATTCTAAGTCGAAAAAGGGGCATAATTCTATCAAAATGCTTGATAGAGTTACCTCCTCCTGTCTACAGGTTGGGGTCATGATGGTGAACAAGTGTGCAAAGTTTCAAAGCCATATGTCAATGGACTTTGAAAATATTTGAACTATTACAAAAACTTTAACATAAGTGGTTACGCCGACGCAGACGCCGACACTGACGCTCGGGTGACTGCATTAGCTCTACTTATTCTTAACGAATAGTCGAGCTAATAAATTAAAGCTAAGTTCTTGATATTACCAAAATTTTCTAGAAAATTAAGCAATTCTTGCATATCTGACAGGATTATCTACCGTTTTACACCGCTGCTAGAAAACCCTATCTTACATACCCCATGACAAGTAGCATGCTTTAAATGATGTCATTGACACGTGCCTATTATGAATGGATTACGTTCTTCGGATATGATGATATTTTACCGTTATGAATGAAGTTGTAAGTTCATACGCTACTATAAGGAAAAAGTGCATAATGAGAATATCAGTTTTCATTACTTCTGATCTGAAAATAATTGATATATAATATGCAAGAAAAAGAATCAAACAGCGGCTGTCGGTAAAGACCGGAATATCTAGCTCTCAAGTAACTGTTTAGCGGAAACTCGGCAGAGCCTCGTTTCTGCCGCCTCAAGCTAGATATTCTGATCTGTACAGTCAGCCAGTGTAAAATGTTTATGACCAACCTGTATATTACAACTGAAGTACTGACAATGTTTTATATTCAGTCACAAGTACTCACCTTAACAACAGCATCGCCTGCACTAGGTGTATGTCTCATAGAATTCAACACTGCTATAGTTGCAAGTGGTGTGCGTCTGAAATACATGTATAAAAAGTTTACATATATTTTATATGTTTTTTTATGTTTTCAGCCACAAATATTAATAGACTGTTGACTAATGTAACAATAACATATCTACCCCTAAAACAATCCTCTTAACAGTTGTTCACATGTATTTTCATGCATAAAGACCTCAAAGACATGCATGAAGTTACAAGCAAATATTTTCAATAAATGTTTAGAAGTTTTATTGATAGTTGCACATAAAATTTTAATCAGTGTCCAAACATGGGTGAACCTCAAGAAGTCGAAAAGAAGTGTCTGCCTCTCAACCATGAGTCATGGGTTTGAGTCCTACTGGGGTTTCCTTGTGGTCTTTCCTCAACCTAGGATTATGACCTTATTCTCCCTTGGTCTTTCCTTAACCAGTACAGGTTAGTTCCATAAAAGGAATCATGAATGTTTGAAAGTAAGCTTCAAGCTTTCATCCCAATCAATCTTTTTAAACTAAACATATTAACTGTTATAAAATAATATATGGAAACTCATTTCTATTCTTTATCCTGAGTATTTTGCATGTATTATCAATTAACAAAAAAAAAAAAAAAACTTTTTTAAAGGTGTATAACAAACAATATGGTATGGACCAAGTTTAAATATGAACCAAATAGCATTCCAATAGCCATCATAATATAAACCAGCACCCGAACATTACATATAAAATATTTACCTGGCAGGTGTATTTCTGTCTGGTCCTATTCTTACTACAGGTGGAGTACCTTTAGAGGTACTTGGTCTAGGTGATGCCACTGCAGTCTTTAAAGCTGGTGTTTTGGGACTACCAACTGGTCTGGCAGGGGTCAGTCTACTAGCAGACTTCAACGCTGGAGTTCTTGGTGACACATGAGGTCCAGGAGAAGCTCCTACATTATGTTGAGGTGACTGGAATCCCGGCCTTGGACTCCGACCAGGTCTTACTGTAGGGGAAGCCTGGAATGATAATAAACATGGCTTTTAACTCAAATATAGTTTATAACACTATATATTACATTCTGATAGGGCATTTATATCCCACATAAAGATATAAAAATCTATTATAAAACTTCACATTTGTGACATCGCTTTTCATTGGATAATCATGACGTTTATATATATTTGTAGTTTTATATACACAGCTGCTGTCAATTTATGAACAAATCTTTTTTTTTTCTAAAACAGGAAGTTTGCCGTATTATAAATTCGTTATATAACCATATAACCTGTCAAAAATCTTTATGATTATTTATGTTCAACAAAAACATGACATATACATGTGTAAAAAAATTTAGGTTCCTTCTTCAATTATATTGATTATATGTTAATACATAAGGTTTATAATAATGTTTTGATTCTAAATATTACATTGTGATATACCTGCAAATCTAAAATCTGATAAGTCTGTATACTGTTGATGTTATATGCTTGAACTATAATTGCAGATCAGGACAAAACCATTATATAAATTGGTTTAAACATACACTGGGTATTTATTTAAGATTGATTGCAAAAAAAGTTCTTGCAACTTATATTAATCACTTTCGAGTCTGCTTCCTGGAACCAACCAGTACTGGTGTCATATGAGGAAAGATGGTCGTGACCCCAGGAAGAACAACCCATGATCTCTGGGTTGAGAGGCAGACAACTTAACCACTACGCCACAGCTCCCCTTATATAAATTAAGTGGTAATGAACGTTAAGACAATCAATTTGTAATAAATAAATATTTGTGACATGAATGTAAAGCTTACTGGTAAAACAACTGGAGTATTTCTTTTATTCTGTCCTTGTTCTTCCTCCTCTGACAACTTTCTTAAGTCAAACTCTATCTCTGTAGCTAATCTTCTATCTGCAGACAGTACCTCTGTAATATTTATAGAAAATAATTACTTTTATCTGATCACATAAACCGCGGCACAGGAGTGTAATAAAGCCATTTAATAAAAACGATATTATACTAGTGTAATAACACTTTGATGTGACGTCATTTGCATTAAATATCAACAAAGCGTTAAAGCGTATTGATGTTAGCGTTACACTATAGACATGTCAATGAAAAATGTTTCTTTTTAACAGTTTACCGTTATTATTTTATTATATGTGATAAATAGAACAATTTATTAGTGGAGATTTAATACTAAACTTCTTGAACTTGTTGAATAAAACAATATCATGCTCCCCAGAGGCTTGCATATGATTTTATACAATACATTCAATAAATTTAGTACTAAACCTACACTCATTCAATATCCTCTATACATAAAACATATGGCACAGTGTGTTTGATATTGTTGCTCTATCCTTCCCTGCCGAATTTCTTTAATGAACATGTCCAGCTTCCATTTTTTGGACCTGTCCATTATCAATTTAAGGGATTTCAAGATGAAATTCAAAGTTAGCCAACAGTTTACAGCCGGTCCGACTGCACTTACATGTAGACTGGCCTGTCACTATACTGGTGGCAAAGGTTAATTATTTACAGTAAATACAAGGAAAGGGCTGGTATTGAACTTAAATCTAACATTCAGTCGAAAATATCATACACCCAATAATCAATAGGATATGTTTGTTGAATATTCTACTTCAACTCTGAAGATGTTTGTTTGTTTGTTTGTGTTTTACGTCACACCGACACAATATAGGTCATATTACGACGTTCCAGCTTTACTGGTGGAGGAAGACCTCAGGTGCCCTTCTGTACATTATTTCAGGCATGAACGGGCACCTGAGTAGAACCACCAACGTTCCGTAAGCTAGCTGGATAGCTTCCTCACCTGAAGGAATTCAAAGTCCCTGTCGGGATTCGAACCCACAGCGGTGAGGGGCAAGTGGTTTGAAGCCACTTGGCCACGGACGCCCCTTTGAAGATGTTACAGGATAATAGTATGTATATTAGTAAGATAATCTGCTGCATAAAATAATGGGACAAAAATTAATTTTTTGAGAGTAGAAATATGTCTACCTTTAACTTCCTTCTTGTAGTCCTTCATTAGTTCCCGTAGATATAACAACAAGTCTTTCTGTAGTGGAGATCTCTTCTCCTCTAACTGTAAGTATGCCATTCTATAAGTTTCACATTTTAAACATACACAAAAATAGAGCTGTCATCCCTAGAGACGATATTGATGTATTGTTAATATTTTTCTGTCGATCAAGATACACATTTGAATAAATTGATTATTTTGATAAATTATTTAAATGTCTATTAATTATGAAAATTCACTAAAAACATATACAAAAGCAGGTGGCCATTATATATAAGATTTTAGGATTATTTTTCGATATATCAGTGTATCGTCAATATTTGTCATCCGATATCGGTATATCATTAATATGCTTTGTGCTGAATCAATGGCAGCTCTACACATACATGTATAATAATGTCACATACCTTAATTTTCATTCTATATATAATACATGTATATACTCTTTAAATTTCACCATCAGAAATTTAGTTTCAATGGTATCACAGACTAAAAGGTCACAATTTTTACCAGGACTTCATGAGCTCCATGTGTCATCACAGCAAAATGTCCGTACATTGTTACTGGTCACATACACATCAAATAAAACACATTTCTCAAAAACACTTCCAGTCCTGGTATGTCAAAAAATCTGAGTGGAGACCCTTTAAGTATGAATGTAATATTTGCCTTATATAATAAGTGACTTACCTTATGTTTCGTATATAATGAGTGACTTACCTTATGTTTCAGAGAAATCACTACAGGCACTATGTTTTCTACAACATCATTTTTCAAAACCTATTAATCAAATAAAAATGACTTCAAAAGACATACATTGTAGAAATATTACAGAAAACTAATCTGTAAGCTTTAAATTCTTAAAATTTGTTAAATTTTAGTGACATTTTTACAATATAATATTTACCAAAAGTTTTTTTAAGGGTGAAAAGACTGAAGTTTCTTCTGGGAATAAATCAAAAGCTCAAGTCTGAATAAGCGTAGAATCTGTAGTTCAATATTAGGTTTAAACCAGTAAGGCAATTTTTAAGATAAAAGTCATCACATGATTCAAACCATTTGAGGTACCAGTAAAGGAATTTTTAAGATCATACTCATGATGTTAGGATGAACATAGTAAGATAATGTAACCTTGGTCATAATTGTCTTCTTAGCTGTTGCTGCTACAGCCTCAGCCATTTCCTCACTGTCACCGGCAACTTTCTCATTTGTCAGCTTCCTCAGGGAGGTTAATTTTATCTCCTGGAAATAAAGGTTACTCTTATAAATAAAGGTAATTCTTTTCAGTGTCAAATGAATGAAATAAAAGTGTACTGAAGATACATTTGAGCCGCGTCACGACAAAACCAACATAATGGGTTTGCGACCAGCATGGATCCAGACCAGCCTGCGCTCCGCGCAGTCTGATCAGGAACCATGCTGTTCGTTATCAGTTTCTCTACTTGTTATACGGTTTGTAAGCGAACAGCATGGATCCTGGTCTGGATCCATGCTGGTCGCAAACCCATTATGTTGGTTTTGTTGTGACGCGGCTCATATATAGCATGTTTGTAAGGATGATGTGATAACCACTGACAGAGATAGTGGAGTATATATCATTTATCAAAGCAGGAAGGAATAACCATTGATGTCTATAAATAGCATAGGTATTTTTCAAGTATTTCAAAACCAACGTTATTGATCTGTCTAATTTCATATACCAGGTATAACAAATGACAGGTGTTAATCCCTTCAGAAATGTCCGAGGACTGTGCACAGAAGAATTTTCTCAACTACATGTACTTATTCATGTAAATGAAACAACAACAAAATATGGATTTACTAAATCACAAACCCTACAATATGTGCCAGGGCTCTTAATAACAACTTTGAGCTGTCCTGTGAAAGTTTATTTGAAAATCTTTGGAGAAATGTAGGACATAGGCATATAAGAAATTGTTCACACCTGCCCAGTGATATTCAACAATCTAAAGACCGGTATTTTCTTTCAGAAAAAAACAAAACAAAATCAACAGGTTAATGAAATATTCACATCTAATACAAGTAATTCTCATATATAAACTTTTATTATCATTGATTGTCATATCCGACAACTTTTCAGCCAACTTTATAAGGAGAGACAACAATAGCATGGTTAACCTACACTACAGAAATAAATCATGCCAATAAAATAAAAGAAGTTTCCAGGAAAAGTTCTACAAATAGTTCTACAAATTAGTTTAAACCAAATAAAAGTATTTTCTAGGAATTGTTAAACCAAGATCAAAAATACTTTCTATAAATTGCTAAACTGTTAAATTTTTAATTTCATTAAATTGTGTTAAAGTCAACTTAAATGATTTTATTAAGAGGTAAAGCACCTGACTATTCTCAGTGCATGATAATAAAGCAAGAGCCTGAATAATGTAAGATTATTTCATTCCAAATACATGACAAAGTTACAATCATGGTAACTTATCTAATATTCTGATCCCAAAGACATGCGTAAAGTAAAAACCTACAGTAGTTTTGTAGAGTGACCTTTGTTACTAAACTTTCACCATAAATTTTCATAAAGTTCACAAAGAACCACAATTAAATCAAAATTCATGCCAGACTTATAGACCTTGATGAGTCATAATTCCAAAAACATGTGAAATTTCAGTGGTTCATGAGATATGATGCTCACAATGGGCCATAATTCAGTGAAAATACATGCCAGAGTTGTGGGACATGGATTTGATGCTCACAATGGGCCATAATTCAGTGAGAATACATGCCAGAGTTATGGGACATGGATAATGACCAATGTTAATTCTCAAGTGAATGTCTTCAATAGTTTTGAAGATTGACCTTGCATGTACATTGTACAACCTTTACCAAGATTAAGTTCATAGAGAGTTATAATTCAGTCAAAATCCATGCCACAATTCTCAGATTAAAAATGTGACCTTCAATTAAAATTCCAACAACATTTGTGAAAACCTTCCATAATTTTGAAGATTAATCTTAAGAACAGCTAGCAGCATATACATTTTATAAGAACTGATTACCTTGCAGCTAAGTATAGCAAGAGCATCTTTCAGAACATCCTTGGTCTCATCATTTATAGGTAGTATATCATCTACTGTCTCTCCCAAAATCTGTATTATAAAACATATGATACAGAAATTCAACAAATATACATTGCCACTCGATTAACCACACCACATGTCAGTGTTCTCAGGGAAATGGTGGCAGGAACCACAAAAATGGGGAACTTGTGTTGTGCAAGGAAAAATATGTCTTTATTGGTATAAGCACTTGAAAATGTTGATAACCACACTTTATTACATTTTCAATGTTTTCAACCTCATTTCTTTTATTCCTGAGATAGTATGTAATTAATATGTACAAATAATGAACCAATCAGTAGATGCAGTCATAGACTTGAAGGGAAGTGTGGTGGCTTGATGGTTACAGTGTTGGCCACTCAACCTAATATTTATGGCTTGGGTCATGACTTGGGTTTACCCTTAATCATGACACTATATAGGAGTGGTTATTTCCAGGAAAATTATTTTCTAAGAAAACAAACTCTTGTCTGATTATCATAAGTAACACTTGCTTCACTATCCCCAATGAATATACATGTATATACAGTACAAGGCAAATTTCAAAACTAACTAAATTTTTTTTTAATAACTCACCTCCTGTGTAAGTTTAGTTTTAAGCTGGAACCTGTGGTTATCGGTCATGTTCTCAAGTAGGAACTTGTATAAAGTCATCCTCTTTCTAAAATATATAAAACAAATCCACTATCTTATAAAGCTAAAACTTTCAATTTTAGTTAAACCCTTATCCTGATGAATGTCAGTTTTGGGTTTTGCCCTACTATGAATATGGAAGTTCTTTTAAAGGAAGAATGTTTTTTTTTTTTTTTGTTTTTTGGTTGGGTTTTATGTCTTATCACAATGAAAAGTCATAATAATAGCAACTTTTCCAGTTTTACTGGCGGAGGAAGCCCTCCAGGCATTAATTCAGCCACTAATATGCACCTGAGTAGAACATCCTACATTCCTTAAGCTAGCTGAAAACTTGAAAAGCTTTCTGACATTAAATTATCATAAATCCCTGTTGGGATTCCAACCCACAGTGGTGAGGGACAAGTGGTTTCAACACAACCAAAGACATCCCTAAAAAGATTTCAATGACAAAGTTACAAAAAGTGAGCTACCAACAGCATCAGGCCTTGCTCTCTAATTGTGGGAAATGCTAATCACTTTTGATTCTATAAATATTTGCCCAACCCTATATTTCAGTCTTGTTATACTTTCTTGGTTCAACGGGGTCATAAATTGATAGTTTAGAATTAAATTATAATTAATAACAATAGAGAATTGTACAAGAAGTAACAGTTCTCGTTATCTCCCAAGAACAATTTTCACCAATCTTTCTTTCATTACTCTTCAAGAATCTACCCTTTTCATAATACTTCAACAATAATGTTAAACATAACAAGGTGCAAAAAAAGGCAAATATCAACTTTTGTTAAACATATTGAGATTTACATTGCTCATATTAAAAGAAGTGATTCTTTTATAGTTTCTAATTTTATTTTGTTATATCTGGTGGAGGAAGACCTCAGGTGCCGCTCCATGCATTATTTCAGGCACAAACAGGCACCAGAGTAGAAACATCGATGTTACACAAGCTTACAGGAAAGGTTCTTCACATGAGAGAATCCAAAGTCTCTGGAGGAATTTGAATCTGCGGCAGCAACGGACAAAACTGTATCTGTAACTAGAACTCCGCGAGTCGGATGTGTCGCCTTGTGAACAATATAGTTTAGGAGAAATGGCCAGGACAAAAATGAAATACGAAAACTAACAAAGGGCATTAGCTCAAAAAATAATAAGTGAAGAGCAGCAGTTTCTCTGCACTGCACTTCTTATCAATAAGATCTATCATTCTATGAAGTTTCAAGTCCATATCTTTTATAATTTATGAGAAATGACCTGGACAAAAATAAAATATGAAAATATATAAAGGATAATAACTCAAAAATTAGAAATGCAGAGTACCGGTTCTTGCACACTGCACTTTTTTTTTAACAAGATATGTTTGTAAAACATGTATGCCCCCTATCAGCAGCCAATTAGTCATGTGATAAGGTTATTATGCATGACTTCTGACCCAGTGATCAAACAATTAATAAGGGTTATAAAGTATCTACTGGTCATGACCTTGACCTTTGACATCTTGACCCAAAACTCAATAGGGGTCATCTGCTGGTCACGACCAATCATCATACAAAGTTTGAAGTTCCTAGGCCTAGGCGTTTTTAGTAAATTGATCAGAAACCGTTTTTACCTACAAGGTCAATGTGACCTTGACCTTTGACCCCTTGACCCCAAAATCAATAGGGGTCATCTGCTGGTCATGACCAATCACCATGCCTAGGTTGAAGTTCCTAGGCCTAAGGGTTCTCTTATTATTGATCAGAAACCATTTTAACATACAAGGTCAATGTGACCTTGACCTTTGACCCCAAAATCAATAGGGGTCATCTGCTGGTCATGACCAATCACCATGCCAAGTTTGAAGTTCCTAGGCCGAAGCGTTCTTTAGTTATTGATCAGAAACCGTTTTTACTTACAAGGTCATTGTGACCTTGACCTTTGACCCCTTAATCCCAAAATCAATAGGAGTAATCTGTGGTCATGACAAATCACCATACCAAGTTTGAAGTTCCTAGGCCTAAGTGTTCTTGAGTTATTGATCAGAAACCGTTTTTACTTAAAAGGTCAATGTGACCTTGACCTTTGACCCTTTCACCTAAAACTCAATAGGGGTCATCTGCTGGTCATGACCAATCATCACACAAAGGTTGAAGTTCCTAGGCCTAAGCGTTTTTAGTTAATTGATCGGAAACCGTTTTTACCTACAAGGTCAATGTGACCTTGACCTTTGACCCTTGACCCCAAAATCAATAGGTCATCTGCTGGTCATGACCAATCACCATACCAAGTTTGAAGTTCCTAGGCATAAGGGTTCTTAAGTTATTGATCGGAAAGCATTTTTACCTACAAGGTCAATGTGACCTTGCCCTTTGACCCCTTAACCCCAAAATCAATAGGGGTCATCTACTGATCATGACCAATCACCATACCAAGTTTGAAGTTCCTAGGCCTTAAGGTTCTTTAGTTATTGATCGGAAACCGTTTTTGCTTTCAAGTCAATGTGACCTTGACCTTTGACCCCTTGACCCCAAAATCAATAGGGGTCATCTACTGGTCATGACCAATCACTATACCAAGTTTGAAGTTCCTAGGCCTTAAGGTTCTTTAGTTATTGATCGGAAACCGTTTTTGCTTTCAAGGTCAATGTGACCTTGACCTTTGACCCCTTGACCCCAAAATCAATAGGGGTCATCTACTGGTCATGACCAATCACCATACCAAGTTTGAAGTTCCTAGGCCTAAGGGTTCTTTAGTTATCACTCTGAAACCATTTGGTCTACGGACCGACGGACCGACAAGTGCAAAGCAATATACCCCCTTTTCTTCGAAATGGGGGCATAATGAGTCTATCATCCTTAGAAGTTTCATGTCTATAGCTTTCATACTTGAGGAGAAATGACCTGGTTAAAATAAAGAATGAAAATTAACAAAGGGCAATAACTCAAAAAATAAGAAATGCAGAGTACCTGTTACTGTGCACTGCACTTCTTCTTAATGAGATCTATCATCCTATGAAGTTTCAAGTCCATAGCTGTTATACATTAGGAGAAATGGCCCCGACAAAAATAAAGTATGAAAATTAACAAAGGGAAATAACTAAAAAATTAGGAAATGCAAAGTACCGATTCTTGTGCACTGCACTTCTTCTTAATGAGATCTATCATCATTTGAAGTTTCATGTCCATAGCTTTTATAGTTGAAGAGAAATGGTCCGGACAAAATTAAATTATGAAAATTTACAAAGGGCAATAACTCAAAAATTAAAAAGTGCAGAGTACCGGTCCTTGTGCACTGCACTTCGTGCTATTAAAAGAAGCATGCATAACAAGTTTGAAGTCAATCCAACTTAAAGTGACTGAGTTATGCTCTGGACAAGCTTTAGGGGACGCCGACAACGACACTGCCGACAAAAGTAATCCCTATATGTCGCATTTTCAAGGCGACACAAAAACTGCACATGTGATACTGTATCTACAATGCTGTATGAGTAGTAATGTATCTGCAATACCAGGCTCATACTTAGAAAACTGTGTATAAGAATATTATAATATTACATACAGAGCTGTGGTGATATGTTTTACTTACTCTTTATTCTTTTCTCCATTCAATGAAAACATCTCACGATCCTTGTTTGACTGTGTAAATTTGTTATAAACTGTAACCAAAAAATAGAATCAAATTTAACAAAAACAAAAAATCAACTTTTTCATTGTAATGTCATCATTGCTAAAATTATTCTTAACAAATTCAACAACATCATTATCTTGATAGTAAACTAGTAATTGTACCATCTTGTATTAACGTCACAACACGTAAAAAAACTTTGTCAAGTATCCTAATGTGTTTTATTAAACATAACATATCCATAAATGAGCCGTGCCACGACAAAACCAACATAGTGCGTTTGCGACACGCATGGATCCAGACCAGCCTGCGCTTCCGCGCAGTCTGATCAGGATCCATGCTGTCCGCTATCAGTTTCCCTACTTGTAATAGGGTTCGTAAGCGAACAACATAGATCCTGATCAGACTGCGTTGATGCGCAGGCTGGTCTGGATCCATGCTGGTCGCACACGCACTATGTTGGTTTTGTCATGACGCGGCTCAAATGTATTCTACAAATATTTAATAAAAATTCCTTTACAATATTTCAGTACAAGATATACATGACAGTGTATTAGTCAAGAAATGTGTCCATAAGATATGGATTCCCCCACACTCTACCATTTTGTCAGTTTACAGACAGAGTGATAGACAATGCAGATCTACAAGCCCATGAGCCCTTAGTGGTAAGGGCATCAAAATCCCTCATAAAAAACATAGTATCTTATTACAATTACTTTATCATAAATAATGTAGATTTTGTCATTTATCCAATTAACATTTAGTTACCTGTATTACCAAACATAATAAATATGATAAATGTGTAGTAGTATTGTAAAAGTGAGTAAACCGTAACGCTTAACTAACTTGTGTGCTTCTTGTAATCATTAAAATGGAACAGACATTCCACAAAATGTTGAAAGAACATGTTTGGGTTTCGCTGTATCAACATATGTAGAAGACAAAACTCCGCTGAAATAGAGAGAAACAAACTGTGATGTAATTTTCACTGATGCATACACAATACTGATACATAAAATGCTTCGTGATAAATCAGATCATGTATGTTGTAATTAAGGATGAAACAACAAAGAAATTTTATATATGTATATAATTATTCTTCTAAAACAATTTCCAAACATCCAAGAATATGTTAAATATGTTCTGCAAATATTTATGGCATTATAAGTAATCATTTAAACATATGCATTCGTTTCTTATTGAAAAATTTGGCTTAGACTTTATCAAAAATAGATTTCTAATTACCTCCCTTTAATTACATAAAATGTGAATTTGGTAATATCTTTATAAATAATGCTTTTTGGAACTTACAATATTGATAAATCTTCATTTAAGCATTTTATTTATGATAAAAAAAAAAACATAAAAAAATGAGTTACAGGATCTTTTAGAATACCTTAATCAGAAATATCTCATGATCATATCTTCTGTCAAGAAGAATTTAACAAATATATGACCTTTACAAGTTTAAAAGAGCAGACAACTTGCATATTTACTAAGACAGACTTCATGACTATATTCTGTGCATCATGACTGTGAGAAAAGAACCATGAAGGAAAATTAATTAATCAGTAACAATTTATGCTAAAGTTACGTCTTGATTTCTGACTTACAATTACAACACTTAAATTGTTAGAAGTTTCAACTAAATGTTGTCTTTGTGAAAATACAATTTTCAAGCAAGAGATTTCCTCTTAAAGATGAAGTTCATTGAATTTGGTCAGTGGCCAACAATTATGACTCTAAATGCATGTATTAAGTTCCAAATAAAAACTTGATAAAGAAAATCAGAAATGGACTAGCATCAACACCTTAACAATGAAATCCAAAATATCAATGCAGACATTAGTAAAACAACTAAATTTTAAAATTAATTTAGTTAACAAATGATTAAGAAACCACTGTAGCACATTATTTAATTTGTTCTAGCTTAGTACTATTTTTGACCTATTAAAAAAGAAATATCAGGTAGATGAAGTTTATTTCATACCAAATGCTTTTATTTCATCACATGTGTCCAGGAGTGTAGATATAAATCTGTAGAAGAGAGCACCTTTCCATTTAATATAATCTTCTTGTAATAGACGAGTTATAACTGTTAGAGTCTGCTTACGTACCAGTTGTGAAGGATCCTTCAAACACGATGCAATGTTTGATATATAAGCATTTGCAGTAGTTGTGTACCTAAAATCAAATGTCACTTTATATCATTAGTTATAAAGATTTTTGACAGGTTATATGGCCCTATATAAACGGTGGTTTGAAAATGTAACCCAAGCTGCTAGGCTGTCGGGAATATTTATAATAAATTTATGATACAGCAAACTTCTTTTTTAGACAAAAAAATACAAAAAAGTGAGATTTCTTCATAAATTGACAGCAGCCATGTATATAAAACTCTATTAACATCATGATTATCCAATGAAACTCGGCATTACAAACATGCAGTATTATAGAAGTATATGTATTACATCCCACTGAGGGCTACAGAACAAAATGTTCCTCTGACACAAATGAAGTCAAGCAAGGTTGACAGTGAGATGTGATATTTATTTTACTAGACTGACCAAAACAATATTCAAGATATACATCTTAAACATATTATCTAAAATCTGGTAATTCTCCGCAAGAGCACAAAGGCAGTTTGGTAATGTCAGTGGGCTGAAGTCATGCTGTCATGTGACATTACAAATTGTTACCCTTTGATATCACAAAAGGCTATATAGTAAATAAATCAAGTTTGGTACTATAATCAAAATTAAGTTATTGTTTCATGAATGTTAAGAAGTTTTATTTGAATAATCATAAAAGAGATGCAACACACTAAATTTGGTGAAGATCTGATGATTGGTATGTAAAAAACAATTATACCCTTTCTATAATTTTTGTTATCCTAGTCTAATAGTGGGTCCAAACGGATTTATTTGACCAAGCAGAAAGGGCAAAATCTACTGATATAAATATGCTTAAACTAAAATCAATATATAGCCAAGCACGTTTGCCACAGGACAACAACAACTTCGGCCAACTTTGCTACAAAAAAAAAACTATGAAAACACAAGCAGTAAATACCTGACACATAGATCTGACATTATTATCACTACATTGTTTCTTATAGCAGGATCTTTTGATATCTCTAATTCCCTAGCTAATGCAGCTATACATTTCTTTGCCAAGTCTTCGTTTTGCAAACATAACTTCCCTGCCAAAAAAATAGTATGGTAAAAATTTTCATAAAATTTCTAAAAATTTAAAATTGGTGTGGTCCAGGAAAACATTACATTAATAAATGATTTTACTAAATCAAATATTAAAGATACACTATGCTCATCCTAAAGTAAAATATTTTAATCACAGAAATTTACTGAAATCTATGGAATTCTTACTGAATATGTCTTTTTTGAACAAAAGAATAAATAAACTATGTATATGAAGCTCAGTTCCCTATTGCAGGTCAAGTAAAGTTGGTCTTTTCCTAAAAAAAAAAAAAAACCTGCCAGTTTTTTTAATGATGCTACATATTCATATTGTGATCACCTATAGTGTGTAGAATTTTAAACATAATACTTTGTATAAAGTCAAAACATGTTTATAAATTATCATACATTTATAAAGAGACTGTGTAGCAATTATTAATATTTTCACACTTGAGCATAGTATATGGACTCTAGAAACATCATTAGATACACATATTTTTTATTTTATGGTTCTAACAATTTCTTAATCTTACACTTTACATATTTCACTCTGTGACAAACTATTTTTAAAAACTTCTTCTTATAAGCATTTGAGCAAAACAGATAATTACTTTAATTTTGAGTGGGAAACGGGTTCTAAAGTTATAAGCCTTTCACTTGTAAATGCTGTATACGTACTTACCTAGAGTTACAAATGCAAAAGCTCTGATTCTGTTGGACATGACACAACCCCTGAATTGTGTAAGTGGCTGGGATGCCTGCTGTGAGCTACCCTGGGAATCTCTAGAATCTTGTTCTCCTTGACTTAACTGATCTAATTGTATATAAATAATATAATTCAGATAAGATAATATATACATCAATAATACCTCACTCGTTAATTGCCGATGTTTGGCAATCTTTGTCACTTTCTATGTAACATTTACTTGATAAACTGACAAATCTAACAAGATAACAAGATTTTTGCGACGGACGCGCCCTCAGGCGCGTTCAGAGCTAAGTCATCTACATGGGATTTCGTCTGCTACACTCGCGCAAAGTGTCCTCAACCGATTAACAGCCCAAGAAAAAGTACATGAATTTGATCCTTTAAAACTCCCATACTATGTCGGGATATCTTAAAATCTTCCATATTTAGCCTTTTCAATTTCAAATTAAGTTATCCAAGTTAAAATATGGACGTATATGATTGATAAAAACGTTGTAGTCCCGTAGTATTATTGCCCAATTATGCAAATTACTGCCGAAACGATTTACCGCTGTCGAAAAAGTAGGACAGCAAATTATACTATAATAAAGGTGTAAGCTCTGAGTTCCAAGAAATCATTAGTAGGAAATAAATATTTCTACAATATACAAAACATTATTATTAACAAATCAAAAGTTTTTTCGACTCTAGAATAACTCGCGCATTAATAAAAGAAGAACTATTTTCGTGACTCATACCGCGGGTTTAGCTGAATATTCAGCAGTTATTAATAAATTAGATACATTTTCTAGGTCACGATATGAGTTAACCTTCGCTATTCTAAAAATAGATTCTGCTTTACCTGTGCTGATTTTCGGACAGTAGGGAGTACACATTATACATGTTATAAACCAGCGGATACTTACTTTGTTCACATGCAATACTTTTAGAAATTCTATACAATTGTAAGAAGCAAACAAGTTGAAAATGTAATTACGTGTGAAAATGAAAAGGACAACTAAACACTATAGTGCTTTTAAAAAAAATTGTGACATTTAGATTAAAATAATCAAAGTGCTGAAAGCACTGATGGGGGCGCAATATGTGATAATTTCGAGATTTGTATAGCAATCTACTTTAGGTGTTCCAATCTGATATCATTCTTCTTTCAAAGTTGAATAAGTGCCCATTTTGTACACAATATAATAGTAACACTTCCAAACTCTTGTCAAAATTGAAAATCATGTACCAAGAACATACTAACAAACCCAGGCAAAATGCATAATTGATATCATATATATCATGAATAAACATTTTAAATTATTTCATTGGATTTTGTTGGGAAACTATAGTTGTTTAACCAATTTTCATGTAAAGTACTTCTTTATGTGAATGTATAACACATAAATCAGTGTACTTACTATATTTATTCCAAGAAATGATTATGCAGATAGAAAATAAACAGAAAATTTAACTGTCTATAAAATATTTCTAAAATAAAACCAGGACTGTAAGAACAAACTTATTTTTTGTAGAAACCTTTCAAGCACAATAGATAATACATGTGAGAATGTAAATTGGAATGGATACATATAATCAAGTTGGCATTGAAAACAAGAGCCACTATCTAGCTTGGGCCATGCTTGGCTTTTTCTTATATTGAAAGTCAAACACATCAGTAGGAGAATATTGTAATATCTATTAGAGTACTCCTAGAAAACATAATATAAATGTATAAAGTAAATTTCAAATTTGAATAGTAAAGGTCATAGTTGAATGATAATTGTTCTTTTGTCCAAGAATGAATCAAATCATAGACAAAAACAAAGTTATGACAATGTGAGTGAATTTCAATTGTTTAACCTTGGAGGTAATGGTCATTTAAATGTCAAAATATATCAGAAAAAATTCAACATGTTGGTTCTGTGTTTGTTTGTTCAAGCATGATTCAAAGCATGGAACAAAATATTTTCAAGATCTAGTAAAATCTAAATGTTTTTAAAATCTAGTAGAATCAAAACTTTACAATAAATATATCAATAAATATACTATAAAGTACATTATAACAATACATGTATTTTGGATAATACACTCTCAGCTGAAATACTTTAAATGGGTGTGGTATTATAAATGTTTGTAAATATTGTAAGTTATCTAATCAATAAGTCTATTCTTAATAAAAGAAACTTGCATCTTGATATTTTCTGTACAAACTAGAACTGCCATTGTCATGGCGTGAATACCCCCACATACCAATTTGTCAGAATCAACAGTAGTCATTTACAGCTCAGCCAAATCTGAGGGAAGTAAGCCAGTGCATTGCTAAGTTATATATTCTACATGTTTTAGTAGAAAAGATCAAAGTGAACTTTACCTTGGACCTACTGACCTCAAAACTAAAACTGCCATTGAATGACTTCAATAACACCCCCCCCCCCCCATTTCATGCAGCCTTGCCTGGAGGTGTTTTATGATGAATATATGAGACCATTTGAGCAGACAAGCTAATTGTAATAAAAGCCCCTGTGACCTTGACCTTTGCCCCAGTAACCTCAAAATCAATAGGGGTATTCTACTAATCTTGACTAACCTCCATGCCAAATATTAAGACTATGGGTCTAAGGATTCTTAGGTAATTGGGCGGACAAGCTTTAATTAGCCAAGGCCCCTGTGACCATGACCTTAGACCTGAAAATAAATAGGGGTCATCTACTAATCATGACTAACCTCCATGCCAAATATGAAGACTGTGGGCCGAAGGATTCTTAAGTTATTGGGCAGAAAAGCTTTCTTCAGTCAAGACCCCTGTGACCTTGACCTTTGACTTGGTGTTCTCAAAATTAATGGAGGTCATCTACTAATCATGACTTAACTCCATGCCAAATATGAAGACTGTGGGTAAAAGGAATCTTAATTTTATGGTCGGACAAGAAAAAAGCGGCGGACGCCCGACGGCCGGACAAGCTGATTCCAGTATAGCCCCCTTACAACTTTGTTGTGCGGGGGTATAACAGATTTCAAACATTGATAAGTTAGGTCATCTTCTTGGTGATGAACTGGCGCCTCTATATTCAAATGTGGTTCTGTTCATACACAAGTTATCTCATGTTCTTCATGATAAACTCTCACCTTGAAGATGATGAGTTCTGTTCATACATATTTCAAAAATAGATAAGTGATCTTATTTTCCTGGTGAAAAACTGGTCGCTCATTTAATATCAATACATATAATGTCGCTCATTCAAGTTCTATACATATTATGATATTTCAAATATTGGAAAGTTATCTCATGTTCTTGGTGAAAGACTGGTGACTAGTTTTCTCCTCAATGTCTTTTCTTATTAGATTAAGTCAAGTTACTATATTCATTAGGCTTTCAACATCACACATTCCAACATTGCAAATGGCAAGCAGTCTCCTGGTATTCCAATTTCTTTAATTTTGAAAAACCCAAATGTGTCAATTTCTCTAGTGTTTCCGACATGAAGACACATCTACATGCATCTGTCCTTATCACTCCTGCTATTACTGTTCTATCATACAAACGCCACTGTTTCCTGAAATATTTGTTTAGAAAAAGTTAATAGCAAAATAAAAATTCCATTATTTTTTTTTTTTTTTTCGGGGAGGGGGGTGGGGGCAATTTAAAGCACAATTTCCAGCTTTACTACTTGAGGAAGACCTTGGTGCACCTATGTGTATGATTTCAGGCACCTGGGTACCATCAATGTTCCATAAATGAGCTAGATAGCTTTCTCACATGAAATGATCCGTAAACACTTGCAGAGCACGAACCTACAGCAGTGAAAGGCTTAAAGGTTTAAAGTCAACCAATCGCCACAGACACCCCAAGTATTTTATCATTTTGCTAAGCAGCAATTTTTTCAAAATCATTTAAATTTATAAATGTGAGTGATTCTGATAAGCTATAGACAGCTAAGTGAAGATAAGATAATCATATGTCAGATATGTCGGAGTGCTTATTGTGAATATTCATTATTTTAAATTAATGTGAATTCTCCTGAGGTGAAAATGAAAGGAAAGCTGAATTCCTAAATACATGTTACATGTCACAATTGTTCTTGTTATTAATTTTGTTCCTAATTTCTATTCTATAAGATGATATTTAAATTCACTGTAATTCCTTTTTATAAATTTGGATTTTTGTGACAATAGTCTATCAAGTGACAGAAGCTCACTGACTTAAAATAAACTATCCTGTGTCAGCCTTTAAACAAGTCAAGAAAAAAAAAAGCTATTAGAATATAATAATTAAGAAATATCATATACAACCACTTCTAAATCATCATGTACCGCTTCCTTAAATGCCATGCTACTGAAAGAAACATTTTACCATTTATTCACTGCAAGGTTTGTCAGATTGACAGTCTCACATTTTATTTCATCCTCACTGACCCTAAAGCATCCTTAAAATCGATGTCGCGCCGTTCACATTTACAAATCTGACATGTAGGCCGACCATCTGAAACAGAAAGTTGGAAAGATAAAATATAATTATTATTAGACATACATATAGTATCCCAATAATTATGTTAGTTGAAATCAATAGTCAAATCAATAATTTAAGCAGTGTTAGAAATTAGCAGTAGTAAGTCCTATATAGCCCCTGAATACTAAATTTCTCCTCGGGCTACCAACTTTTCACAGTAACAGGCCTAACCAAGCTACTGTATTTTAAGAGGCAATATAAACAACTGTTTTGAACAAATTAATCGTGCCAGAGAAATGTTATTTGGGCTAGTGAATATTCCAATCTGGTAGTCCGACCAGACTAGTCGATTCAAATCCTAATTTCTTACACTGTTTAAGAAACAATTTGTTCATAATTGTCCAAGAACAAAGATTTTTATAGTATACTATAGTAGTTATAGTGTATATACAGTATGTACTAAATGTCATTTCAATCTACTATACTGTCCTTAAATTTTAAGAAAACAACTATCTTTAAAATCCATTGTCTCAGAAATTGCAAAACCAAGTAAATGAAATTGTTCTGTATTTGTATTATTCTACACAACTTCTGATCACAAAAGCTTCAAGGACATTAATGAGTGAATCAGGTCCTATCCTGAAAGATTGTTGCGTACAAGTTTGAAGACAATCCA